TGTTATTTGTGTGATACATTCATATGTTTTCACTTGACCATAATCAAAAATTTATAAAAAAAGGTGAAGTCAGTATTTTTAGCTATCTGTAGGTAAGTGCTTAATAGTACAATTTCATCCCTTAACAAAAAGTTAACATAAATCATTGTATTATATGTAGAATATATAACAATCAATACAAAGACTATTATATCTGATTAGAACCCAATTAAGGTTAAATATATGACTGAAACATTGATATTTGGAGAATATAAAATTCTGTGTCCTGGTTGAAAGAAAACTGGTTGAATTAGTATTAGCAATTGCAATTGCAATTGCAATTTTGAGTCTTCAAATGAAATTATTTAGATTGTAGAGCATAAGTGAAGATGGTCTTCATTATATTCAACATTTAGTCAATTCACCCCAGCCTGTGAGGCATGAAATAATACTCCTGGAGGAACCTATCAATGTGCACCCTCAAAGTAAGGAGTACTATCCTTTCTCTATGGTGCACCCTGACAAAAGGCTGCCATCACCATCATCATGAAGAAGACAATAAAGGAGAAGGTGAAGAAGAATAGGAGAAAGGAGGAGGAGGAGAAAGTGAAGAAGAGGAAAAGAAAAAAAGGAGAAAGAGCACGTGAAGGAGGGCAAGGAAGAGAAGAAGAATGGGGAGAAGGAAAAGGAGAAGAAGAATGGAAAGAAGGAGTGAAAAAGAAAAAATATATGTATAGAAAAGAAAATGTTATTGCAATATGAAAATGAAAAATAGTTTTGTGGAGCGAAAAAGATGACCCTAACAACATAGAACATATGGATTTTATGTTGAAAGAGAACTGCCAAGCAAGAATATAATTATGACACAAATTAAGATTGTGTAAGTTTCAAACCCTCATCTGACTCAAGTAACTTCTATATTGTGAAAAGTGACTTAATTAAAAATTTGATGAAATTTCATAGGAGATTTCCATTTTCTTTGTTTTAAAATTGCCAGAACAAGAAACTAAGTTCAAAAGGCAGAAAATGATATATTTTCATCATTGCTATATGCAGAAGTAGTATTCAACATGACAAACTATGCAATATTAAAACTACAGGAAAATATTACAGAAGGAAAATAAAAATGAGAAAGCATAAGATCATAACAGTAAATTACAGTCGTAATGAATATTAGATAATTAAACAATGGTTTGAAACAAATTAGTGTGTTGTGTTTTATTTTTATGTGTTAACACACAAGAATTGAGGTGAAGCAAGTTTATTTTAATTTATGGTTTTTCTTTTATTGCTTAATACTTCAGAATGCACAAAATTTTGTACATTTTCACACATGCAAAAGCACAATATTTTGTAACATTTTGTAACTTTTTTTTTTTTTAATTATAAATATCCATTATTTTAAACCTCTTCAGTAATAAATAGAATTTGGATGTAAACATTAAAATATAAATGAATTTAGAATATTTATAAACAGTTTCTAATTGTTTCCAATAGTAAATATAGCAGAAATGCATTCATTACAACAAATCTGCTGTTGCAAAAGAAAACAGAAATATTAAAATAAAAAAATCACAGACCTCATCCAAGAAAATCTTCAAAAAGCATTTTACCTGTGAATTGAGTTAATAAGTGCCAAGAAATTCTTTAAAACCTTTTAAAGCAGAGGGGGAACATTTTGAAATCTGGTGAACAAACTGAATATATAACGAGAAACTCCAAACTTCTGTAATGAAGCAATTTTGCATGACTGCAAGCTGTAAAAATTATTTGTTTTATTTCATGCACCAATGAATGAGTAAAGAAATAGCATCACAACTGTCAGAAAACACTTTGTCAGTTATTTGTATATTTGTATGACATTTTGTCAACATTATATTTAGAATTGCTATTTACAATAAACATTCAATTTTTCTCAAATTAAGTTAATTCATAGAGATAATTACAGAGGTAAATGTTGTGCAATTTCCTGAGATTTAGGGTCAATTTTTGATTTAAATTCTATGAATTCATAAAATAAACATTCAATAATAATTTCTCTAATTTTCTTAAGTTAACGACTCGGAATATCATGAAAATATCATGAAAATTTCATGAATTAATGATCTGGCATTTCATGCAAATTACAAACTATTTAGAATCTTCAAATTTACAATTTAGTAGCCAGTGACAGCTCACAACTGCAAATATCATATATATATTTCTGAAATATAATGTAAATCACCCATTACTGCAAAAGCTAAGGTATCTTCTGAGAAGGATTGGAGCTTCATATATAAATGTAGGAACCTGTATCCTCTCTATTCAGCATTTAAATCGACTAGCAATTCTCTTTTAATTCTTATATTAACCCCATTAGAATTTGGTAACATTAACAATACTTTAATTTGTTTCAAGAATTCTTGAATAATTCAATTTTTCATTTCTTTAACTTTTTTAATTTTTTATAAATTCAGGAAAATAAATTCAAGAATGGGTTCCTTTGTATCATAAGAAAATATCTCATAGAATTGCATCTTCTTAAAACATGTATTTAGCATGTATAAACTGAATTTTGCATTGTTTGAACAAAATGTCATTAAAAATTATAGAAATGAATAGAAAATAAATTGTTTTAAAATATATTTTTCAAGTAGTACATTTCTTGCTACTTGTTATGCAGTGTAGAGAAAGTTATGTAATCCTGTGGAAAAACCAACGAATTTTGGGAAGAAAAACTCCCATTTGCCAGGCCCTGGTAACAAAACAGTGGATAAATATAGCAAAAAAAAAAAACCTCATACACGAGGTGTAGCAAGAATCCATGATTTTTTTCTGTAATTTACATTCTTCTGACTTTCTTTGTCATTATTTAATTACAACAGAAATTTATTTAAAACACACACACACATTGCAACCTCTGGAGTTTTCTTCACAGAGAATAGGGAACAAAGATCCAATAATTTTCTAATTCCAGAAATAAAAGAAAAAATTAAAGTTGCTAAGCATGAGATGTCCACATGGAACCCACACCCTAAAGACCATGAAACAATTATTAAATATTGACCAACAAACCTTCAATTTTAAATACCTTACATCAAGCATCGCAAAGGCAGTCAAGTGGAAACATGCGACTTCTGGATGACAACTTCATTTGGTACACCTTGATTCTCTCACAGAGTATCTCTCTTCACTAACAAAGTTCATTTGCCTTTTATATAACTTGGAAAGCACAGTGAATCACACTAGACCAGGGTTGCCCAATTGGCAGCCCCTGGTTCAATTTAATGTGGCCCGTGAAAGGTTATTAGTCAAAATCGAAGTCCCTTTCCCTCATATCCAGCAAGAACATTGTGCACCTAGAGCATGCGCTTTGCCAGAGATAACTTTATGAAAAAATAGGTTGTTTAGGTTTAAGGACTTTTTGGTTGTAAATTCAAAATCATCCCAATGTGTTTCATTGCATTATGCATGGTATGGTCTGATATCTTGCATGCGGGAAATGGATTTTTGATTAATTGTTTCAGTGATTCTAGGCATGTCAACTAACACTCTCATTAGTTCCGTAAGTGTAGTGCATGTTTTACCTCGGGGGGGGGGGGATATTTCCCTTGATGTATGACGAGATCTGGCACCGACCCACTGTCGGCTAGTGGTGTTTTCCCAAACAAGGAATCTCCCACCAGCAGGGCACTGCCCCAGCCAAAATAAGCTCTAAGCTCCTGACAGGTCTCCCAGCGTGTGTGGTAGTGTAGTGCATTTTAGTGTAAGTGTGGGTAAGTAGGGGGTGAGGATAGGACAAGGAAGAAGTAGGGAAGATTGTGCGTGGTCCGTGGCCTATTTGGTAAGGTTCTGCTCCGGCATTCACCTGGTATTGATCGAGAAACCACGAAAAACTACCATTCAGAGCAGTAAGCTGCTAGAATTCCCCTCCAGACAGCGACTGAATTCGACCTACCCGACAAGTGAGTGTTGAAAATCCAGTCACCCTTGGGTCTCAAACCAAGGACCTCCCGGTCAGAGCAGGGCGATGGAAATCCCCCACGGTTTCACAGAACCTGGGCAAACTCCTAAGATCACCAGTTAGAGGAAGTCAGGTGTGGATCATAAATGAGTCATGAAAATATGGCCCCAACCTTATTAAAATTGTTAGTTGTGTCCCTTGGAGCTTTGCAAGTTGCACACCTCTGCACAAGACTAACAGCAGGGTTGTCACACCTGGATGAGAAGAGCAAGAAATCATCCATGACACCACTTGTAAAAGTCAAGGGGCAAACATCCTTAAGTGGGATTGAAACCTGCAAGTCTTTGGAGTGAAGATCAGAACTGATACTCTTACCCACTGGATCATCCAGACTAATTCTTAGGGGTCGTCCAGAAATTACATTACGCTAAAGAGGGGGGAAGGGAGTTTGATGCAGCATTACGTGATGACACTGTGTTCGGGGAAGAGGGTATCATTTTAATGTTACGTAACACTGATATTTCTTTTTTGTGTCTAACACCAAAACATTTAATTAACCAATTAATTTGCTTTTAAAAACATAAATAAATTAAAGTTATTAGATGTAATTGATACAATAAAGAGAAATATTTTTTCATCAATTTTTTACTGAATCTGTAAGATAAATGATTTAGGATAATATTCAATATTATTGTATAATATAGAATAATTTTCAAAATTGATATGTAGTATCCATGTAAATTGGCACAGTTGACTCACACTTGTGCGTCATCCACAACAGTGTGTGTATTGCTCAAGATCAAAAATTTTCTGTTATGCATCCTCCCATCACTCACAACTTGCTCTCAATCTTATTGTTAGGTGCAGTTAGCAACGGCAACTATTTCCAACTTTAATTAGTCTAAATTTTAATATACAATACAAATAAATTGTTTTTATTGTGCTCTAATTTTTTTCACATCGTACATTTACAAGGGGAGGGGGTGTTGTTGCAAGTGTTATGTAATTTTTTATGGCGGGGAGGGGGGGGGGCGTTTGCCGGACATTACTGGTGTGTTACAGGGGGAGAGGGGGTATTCTAAATACTCCCATACGTGTTATGTAATTTATGGACAGCCCTTTAGTACTCCTGCACAGGGAAATTATTTCCTGCATTAGTCCTGAAGACTAACTGACAAAATGTTGGCCAACAAGCCTTTGTTTACACAGCTGACAGCAAACAATTTCAGTTACAGAAGCCAACACACAGTCCCTGGCCATATTTATGTCACTACTCTTCATTTTCTACATTTTGCCATTCTGCAATTTTCTAGTACCGTTTGTTACTGATGTCTTAGAAACAACCTTTTTGAGAAACTATGTTGTGAGGAGTCCAAGTTCTATTAATGCTTTAATTTCTCTTTGGAGACAGGTTCTTTGGCATTCTCATCACAAAACCAAAACCAAATTTAAACAAAAATTATATCCCTCTGTGGCCTCCCACAGGACACACGTGCCGATTCTCTTGCTGAATGCATGTTCAAATTTTCTGCAGAGGAAAACAATCAGTGGAAATTCTGAAGGAAAAAAAAACAACAACTTTTCTTAAGTATTATTTAGTACTATAGCTGAGTGACACATCTCTCTTAATAGCAGCCAATGTAATTTTTCCACAGCTTCTCACTCTGGTATATCTGTAGGCAACATTTGATGTCATGCAACCATAAAATAAAGTCGGTATTTAAATCCATCCAGCAAGAGGGAAGCAGAATAAGATAGACAAAAGTATCCCTCAGGGCTAAAATTTTGTTTATATTAAAAATCTTATTTGAAGTTTTAAAAAAATTTTGGATTTAAATCAATTTCACCAAAGTACTTCATGCAATAAAAAAAACAAAAAACTTTCATCTTGTTATACCAGTTAAATTTTTTTTTACCATGATACACGTGTATTGGTTTAAATCATTCTTACTAATTTTTATAGATTTTAAACATATTTCAAGAAATTGTTCAGGTGTTTATATCACTATTATGACCCTCGTAATCACGAAAAACAATTTTCCTTTGTTTCTTCAGAATATCTCATGTTCTGACACACCACAAAAGGGGCTAAATATAAATTGTAGCCCTGTAAATTCTTTACACATTCCTAAAATTTCAATCAACAATTTACAGGGTTACAATTTGTATTTATACCTTTTTATGATCTGCATCAGAACATGAGATAATCTTAAAAACCGAAGGAAAAACGCTTGTCCCCCCCTCTTTTTTTGTTAATTACAAGGATCATAGTGATATACACCTTGAAAAATTCTCAAAAACATCTTTACAATCTGTAGAAAATCGTATGAATCACAAGTGTAACATGAAACAGTAAAAAAATGTTTAAACTGCTATAAGAAATTAAATTGCACATTTGTGCAATGAACTTTTGGACTAACTGATCTATTATATCAGTCAAAAACTTTACTTCAAATACGATTTGCAACCTTAAAAAAAATGTGTACCCCTAATGGCACTTTTGTAAATCTTATTACGCTTCTTCCTTTCAATTTATTGACACTCATTACTTTCCAGCATTTAAAAGAATTGGCAGCTAAAATCCAGTAAAGTAAATGCCAACAAATTCCAGCATCACATCAGCACGAGATGACTGAAATGGATCATGATGTCTAATACAATTCTAAATACTTACTGTTTTTCAATTCAGAGTATTAGAATTCATTTTTTCTAAAGAAAGAAAAAAAATTCAGGCGTTTAATCTCTTGAAGTAGGTTTAGAAAGGGCCAAAAATCACATGAATATATGCATTTCAACATAAGTAATAGTTTTAAACAAAGCTTTTCTACTTGAGGAGGAGATGCACATTAAATGTTAATGAAAACTTCACTACTGAAATGATTAATGGCATCTTGGTATACCATACTTCTGAATCGGCATAAAAGTGTAGTCTCAAAAAGAGTTCTGGTCATCATATTAAATTTAACCAATCATGTTTAGATTTCCTGTTTAGTCAAAGTAAATAGTAAAACCAAGAAACTTTTGTAGAAGCATTCACCTGCTTTTTTGTTTTCTACCTAACGCTTCTTGAAAAGAATACACAAAGATTTTTAAGATATTGGTACAAAAAATTAACCACATTTGTAGATTCCAATAAATGATTAGAAAAGTCAAATTTCATAACGTTCATATTTTATTCTGACTTATCACAGAAAACCTCATTTTGTTGTAGATTTACTGTCTACTTTTGTGTATACACCAGCTCTCAGTACCAATAGACTGTAAGCCTATATTTTTACACTTTCAAATATTCATTCAGTTTCAGGATCCAGGTACACCACCCAAAAACATTTTCAATCATTACATTAAAATTTCAACACAATTTTCTTTCCTTTTTCCCCCATCATTGTTGTAATACAAGAAAATCCACAGATTTATAAATCAGAATAAACTGCAATTTCAATCTCAGAAACATCAGTTTGTTAGTTTGGTGTACACACGCACACACTCACACACATCTGGGTACAGTGTGCCCTCCTGTAGTTCAGACAAGTTCTGCTCTTTTACCCATCTTCAGTGCAAACAATGATTAATCCAAGACCCGCACCTCATTGAATCTATGCACCACAAGCAATAACAGTTTATTCAAGAAAAGTTCTTGATGAATTCAAGCTTTCTATGTGAAAAAAAATGAAAACTGACCAAACAAAAAGCAACAAAAAGTAGGAAAAAAAGCAAAACCCTTCCTTGCTGTATCTACATAAATATCTGCTTACTTTAAGTGCATAAATATCCTTAATCTTATTTTGTATTACATACTCTATAATGAATTCAATTGTTCAGTTCCTTGTACAAAAAGAGGCCGTTTCAGATTGCATTCGCCCAGAAATCTTAAAACTTGCAAAGCCAATTTACATCAGCCCAGATTAGACCTTCTGGTGCATCGTTCCCACAAGACAAATTTAATTTTTTTCTCTACACAACAAATAGTGGAAAAGAAAAAATTAGTTCTTGTACATATTGTCCATTACATCTTTGTCAAATCCAAACTACACAATCTTCTTTAACAGAAGGAGGTAGTTTTTTTTCTTATCATTCATGGAGTAAAATGCTTCACTGACAAACATGAAAAGCATTACTTAATTTATGTACAACCCATTTTGTTTCAGGTTACACTGCCTTGCAACACGTTCAACTGACAAAAAAGAAAAAGCTACTCATCTAAAAATGCAACTCAACAACTCAATGAAAATGTTTACAACACACTTTGTGCACATTTACCAGTCAGGAATATTTCATAATCTTATATGAAATCCAGCGCTACTTCGAGAGGCACAAATTCCGTCACGATGGGCATCAGCCATTATGCAACACTGCCATTACTTGTACAATGAGTCACGTTTATTGAAGTTTGCATCTGCAGGTCTGAAATCTCTTTCAATCCATCTAAGTCAATGGTGTCGATTTCAGGATATGTACCAGTAGTTCACTGCAATGCTTCACAACAAACCAAATCCATACACTTTGTACACATATCATCCACACATTAAAATAATTCATATCATTATCAGTAACACACGTCTGTTACAGTACATCAGCATCTGACCAATAGTATTCACATAATGTGCACAAGTTTCATATGAATTTGTCCACTTCAGTATCACCAACACAACAGCACACAGCTACAAATAAGACCGAGCAACTGACTGCAGTTGTCCTCACTGCATCGATGCTGACTGAGCAAGGGACCCACTCGATGCAGAAATGGCAGCCGACGAGCCGAGGGTAGACGCCATGTCCTGGTAGCTGAACTGTTGAAAGTATGGCTGCTCATGCTCCTCTGCAATGGAGTTAAGGTGCTCTCCGTGCTCGGGTGGCGTCAACTCGACAGATTCACCAGTGAACTCCGAGTCAAAATAGCGGGTGTCTGTGTCCGATGTTACCTGAGGCTTGAAGGGGGGTGGGATCTGCAAACACAAACATTAAGGAAAAGTCATTAAGGAAAAAACATTTTTCTATGTGCATACAATGATGAAATATTGATGACAGTAATGAAAATTTGCCGTAACAAGAATAATCAATTTAGTCTGTAAAAAAAATTAATAATAATAATAATAATAATAATAATAATAATTATAATAATAATAATTATTATTATTATTATTATTATTTAATTCAACATATCCTTTATATAAATAATAACAACTCATAATCAATGAAATTATATACAACGCAGCACACCATACATACTTGATAGAATTTAATAGAAAATAAAACGATGTGCAACACAAAGTAATAATTTTATATATTCACAATGATTATTTACAAACATACAATCTCTCCTTACTCATACTTAATAAGTTATTCCATGCAACTACAAAAAACATTGCTCAAAAGATAAAAACGCTCTTTATGAAATCTGCTAATATTTATGCCACTCACGCACATTAAAATTAATCTCCAGGAAATAATAAATAATTATTCCTTTTGTGTACAGAAGGAAATTAATGAAAGTATTGTTTCATTGTTTCAAATACAATCATGTTACAAATCAAATTTTGATTTGAATGACTGAAGGAAACATAAGCAGTTTATGTGAAAAGAATATTATTATCTTTTGAGTAGTGCATACTAAAATTTGTCCATTTGAATTTTGATAACCCTATTTATAGGAAAATTCTTAAAATGTACCATAAGAAATTACATTTTGAATGGTACACAATTATGCACGGTTCTACTAGATACATATAAAGCTGTTTAAGTATTATGTCATAAGAGCTCTATGAACGGTTTGAGTAACTGAATACAAGACTGGATTAGGCACAACTCTTTTTAATAAAGATCTTTACTCACTCACAATATTAGCAAAGAACATTAGAAATAACCCATACTTTAACAAAACCAATTGCCTTCATTTATAATCATTTCCTTTGCAATCAAATTATTTAATGGTCCAAAAGAACCTGAAATTGCATTGCCTTCCTATAATCATTGATAGGATATAGAAACAAAATGTGACATTGCACAGAAATTATAAATAATTCACGTTTGCAAAGAGTTTGTAAAGCAATATCACCGACAGGCCTTTTCAGAAAATGTTTTTCTTTGTTTCACTCCTGAAATACCAGGCATCTCAATCCAGCCATGTGCTCACCTTTTTTTGTTCCAAGTCAGTCCAATTGATGCATGAGAAGAACGGATGAGCCATGATTTCCTTAGCATCTTCTACTCCACCACCCAACCGGCGGTTAGGGTCTTTGATGAGGAGTCCTCCCAGAAGCTCCTTTGCTTCATTCGAGAGTGTTCGAGGATATTTCACCTGAAAAGTAGCCAAGGCACACATCAAGAACCATAAATATATGAAATATCCGAATAACTAGTTCAAAAATCCCTTTTACTCTCTTCAAAGAAATAACTGAATTCTTAAATAAAAATAAAAAGTAAGATTATAATTTCCTAATCATTTCAATTGTTTTATTTCATCATTAACATAAAATCAGATTTAGAAAAATATAAACAAATAAGAAGAAAAATAACTGTTAGAACTCTTTAAATAACAAACATTATTGCTGACAATATCAAAAATCATTTAATAATCCACCAATCACTAAAATTAATTCAACAATTAACTTAAAATTCAGAAAAATTAACGCTCCAACTATTGGCCTGACTGAATTGGCCAAATGTAACATTTCCTAACAGGTGCGTATCGACCCTACGGAGGTAGATGGAATTTTAAAGAAGGTTAACGAAAATGAAAGTGCTGATTGGGGTGGATACCCAAATGTGCTTTGACAACCGATGTGTAATTAAGATTCTATTGATTTAAAAAATGTAAACCAAGTTGTAAATTGTAATCTTTAATAAAGGTTCAGAACTTTTAAAAATACTTATGTTTTTAAAACACTAAAATTATAGTAGTACCATATATAATGAAACCGAATAAATATTTTTTTGAAAAGTTTTGTTCATTTTCTTTGTTTGTGTAATTATAAAGTAATACACTTGCAATTATTTGTGTTAAAATTATTGTATACGCTACATACTACAGAAAAAAGTCAACAGTGTCGATGAAGCAAATTATTCTTTTAAAAGGAGTCATTGCAAGAGAAAGGTTGTGAATCCTTCGACTAATGATACAATTTCAGATTCTGTTCCTTCTGAAAGTAAAATACTTCTTTAAATTTCATTTCTTAATGACCGTTTACATTCTGGGAAATAAAGTACAATTTACTATCATGAAAGTTGTTTAATATCCTCCTCCTCGTTTTGAAGTTGTTGCTACTATCCCCCTCCCCCCCTAAAATTCATCACTTTCGCCAACAATGACCAGGGCAGGAATCTAATTTGCGACTTTTCACTACAAAACCGGGAAAGTAAGCCTGTACTGAAGGTATCCTCGCTCACTGTGGGTCGATGAAGTTTATGAACTCAATTCATCAACGAAGATGAACATTGAACGTTTGTTTATTCATTTTCAGGCTGTATTTTTGGGTTCCCAGCTGTTATTGCTACTTAGGGGATATATCGTCCTTGCATATAGCATCCCTGCTCCTTCCAACTTTGTAATAATATTATAATAGGACACTCACCTGTGCATTACCTTTTATTTATTTTTATTTTTTTTATTTTAATACTTACATCTTCCATGAGGATCAGAGTGAAAAGAACGTCATGGTCACGGTTGTAGAAGGGTAGTCGACCACACATCATTTCGTACATCACAACCCCAATTCCCCACCAATCAACAGCACGACCGTAGTCATTATCCTCCAAAACCTGCAGTCATTTACAAGTTATCAATTCAACAATTCTTCACAAATTTGTAATGCTCAATTGTCACATTAACACATTGCTCAATTGTTTTAACATACATAACATATGCAAGCAAGTAAATCAATTGAAGTTGAGCAAGGGTGAATTGTAATATATTGGAAATAGATTCTCAAAAAACTAAATATACAACTTGCATCTGGTTGAAAATAGAAAAAAAGTAAAAAGGTTTTGTTTTTGGATTAACAAAGCCACCTCATCATCTGTCACAGATTTGGTTTTGATTCTAATAGTTGCCTATTCAGCAATAGTGCTGCAGGGAAAATATAATTATACTTGACATCCATCTTTCTTCAAGAAGAAGTCCTTAACGAGTTGAAATTTTCCTAGATTGTCATTTCAATGTGAAAGATCTTTTATTTTAGTTAGAATAGGATCGCTTGCTAAAATGGCTTGCACACAAAACATGTAACCATAAAATACCTTTGCAGATCAACTACCCATTTTCCTATTTTGAATTTTCATTTACAGGCAAGAAGACATTATTAAATATGATGGTTTGACTTGACTTGACTTGAATTTAGCATGTATCACTACTGTCACATAATGAACAGCAGGGGCTAAATTTAGCCATAATTTTCCATTATTGTTTCACAAATCACCCCTAAAATTATGTTTTTAACAGACATCTTTTTCTTAGATTCTTTCCAATGTTTGGAGCTTTATTGCATTAAACCACTTTTTCTGACTTCCACTGATCCATTTCCAGCCCCCCCCCCCCTCTTGTATAATTCATTTCACTACAAAAAGCCAAGCAATGAAATAAACAATATTAATAAGACCTTTCTCTCTTCTGCAATAACATCTTTCCAGTTCCATAACATTGAAATTTTGTAACAGGTCTACAGTACCTTATTCACATTGCCAAAATGAAAGTGTTGGGAAAGCCACTGAAGAAAAATTAAATTCAGAAACTGAAAATTTGATTTCTGTGATTTTCTACTCTCTCAGCACAGAGGATTAGGATACTTTCTTTAACATTTCCCCCCCCCCCCTAACATTTTTTCCCTAACTTTAATTTTTTTTCTAATGCTTTTCAAGCATATCTTTTCTAAGCATGAATCATAAAAAAATTCTTAACTGTTTACAAATAAACCACCATCCGAAATGTAACTTATTAATTCTCCAAGTTATTACAAGATTTCGGGGAACACTTTTGCCCATCTTTAGCTTCAAAACTAATCTAGCATTATTTTATATCTTAACTAAGTGTTTAGTCCAAATACTTTCTTTTCTTCCCATTATTATACACATACATTTAAAGATGTGTATATTTTTCTGTAAATTAACAAAAAAGAAACAATGCCCTTCACATTTGAATAACAGACACAAATGCCAGTAAAAACAGAAAAATTATAAAAGACACTTTAAAAAATATGTTCATGTTATGAGAATCTAAACAAAAGAATTAAAATATGTAGAGAAGACACAAACACTGAAGGAAAACGAATGTTGATACATTTTAAATGTAAACCTTTTTTCATTTTGAACATTAGAACTAATTTAGTATTAATATTAACAACAATAATAATAATAAAATAAATAACAAAAACAATAAAAAGCATCAATATGGAAACAATCTTGATGGGCTACGCACAGAAAATAGCAATGAAAAATAATAAAACTACTTCAAATCATTAAAGCAAGTATGAAATTTAACATTAAATTTAAAATGAATTATGTACAATAATGAAAATCTTTCATTTCTACGGAAAGTGCCGAATATGCAGCAAACATTTGTGAGAAAACGTGACAAAATAACGAAAAGCTCAAGCTCACAAATATAACAAAATAGATAATCGATGTGCACTTACTGCTCTTTAAACAAGAAAATTGTGCTATACAACACACACAAATTAAAAGTAATTCTTGAATTTTTTATCAACTTTTCTTGAGATTTATTTTTTAACGAAATCAGAATTTGAATTTTTAGCATTTCGTAACTGTTTACTTCATAATAAACCAGCAAAAATTAATATATTCCTATGCCAATTTAATGTACTTCTTTTTCAAGGAAATCATCAGAACCTTACTACTCTCTTATATTGCTATAATAAAATATATAACACATGAAAAAGGAACCATGCTAAATCAATAAATAGGGGTTTGGAGCACAAATTAAAATAATGTGTGAAAACTGCTCAACAATGTTTCTTTCGTACCACATAACTGGAGAGACTTTAGTAGCTCATTCCAACGTTCCTACAGGAATGATGCTTTTTTCAAGAAATTTGAAGGAACTTTAACAACTAAAGAACAATTGAAATATTGCAGCTTAATAACAAGAGGTTGTGTGAGTGTGTGTGCGTGTGAGTGAGTGAG